GGGGAGGAGGACGAGGACGAGGAAGAGAGAGGGGGAGAAGAGGGGGAGAAGAGGGGGAGTATCAAACAGAGAACCCCAAGAAGCATCAAACATTTCTGACAAAATCCATGGTGCGAATTTGATATAATAAGCACTGGCTCCCCAGTGCAACCTCATCAAAAGCTATGAAACACAGACCTGCTGAACAAATTGAAATACATGTGGGGGAAAAAAAAAAAAAAAAAAAAAAAAGTAGTTGTTACCAAGGCAGCCCCTCCTGAACCAAGAAAACGACCAAATACGCCGGCTACTAAACTTCCGAGTAGAGGAGGAGGAGGAGGGGAAAGACGCCGATGACGTACTGATATGATCGTGATGAGTCGCTGATGACCATGATCATGACAATGATTGCGATGCAACAAGGGAAGACAACATATGGCAGTAATGTTTATTTTAGTGGTGGTCCCCACCCCAAGAACAAAAGGAGGAGGACGAAATGACAATGACAGCGATGATCCCGCTCGACGAACATAAATCCACAAGGACAAGGAATCACTCACTCTTATGAGGTTCAGAGACTTGGAGACGATCAGGTAAGATAAGTAACAGAGAGAGACTGAGCTGCTGTCGATGTCGACATGGAAAAAAAAAACGCAGAGGTGAGAGACACAGTGGGAAAGGAGGACAAAAAAAAAAAAAAAAAAAAAAAGGAATGGAAAAGTGATGAATAGAAAAAAGGGCAGTGACTCATCATAGGAGTCACGGTTTAAAAAAAAAAGAAAAAAAGAAAAAGGATGCACAGAGGAAGAAGGCACAGGAGAACAGACGACGAGGGAAAGGACAAGACAGGGGGGCGGCGATATGAAAAAAGGGATCGGGCTGTGAGAGACGGGACGCCAATTTTTTTTACTTACAGGATACGGATCGCACACAGCACCGTGTCAGATATTCGACCGCTTGCAAAATCGGTTTGCCATTGCAAACCATAATCTACTCTCCTTATCCGTTCCGTTGTCCCCGCCGATGGATAAATTTCGTTTTTCCTTCTCCTTTTTTTTCTTGGCCGATGGAGAACTTTATGATGGATAATGCGTGGATAAATGTCTGGATAAATGTCTGGATAATGTCTGGATAATGTCTGGATAATATCTGGATAATGTGTATGTAATGGATAAATGTGTACGTACTGGATAAATGTGTACGTACTGGTAAATGTGTACGTAATGGATAAATGTGTCGAGAGAATGAGGTGATAGATGGACAAACATGGATGTACGGAAGCCGATGAATCACCGTCAGGATAAATGTGTGGATAAGAATCACCGTCAGGATAAATGTGTGGATAAGAATTACCGTCAGGATAAACGTGTGGATAAGAATCAATCACCGTCAGGATAAATGTACGGACAAGTGTCTCGATTGATGAATCAAGAATAGATGCAGGAAAATCTGATCTGGATAGATGCAAGGAAGGCAGAGGTGGGGACCACCACTAAAATAAAAGGCAAGCCAGAGAAAGAGAAACGTGTGGATAAGTGTGCCTGCTGCCGGTAGCCCCGATCACAACCCCGTTCGGACGTCGACTGCAAAAAAAAAAAAGAAAAAAAAGAAAGGAGCAGCTTTGCTCTTCGCGATGATCAGATCAGATCAGATAAGATCAAATCACTTATCCTCGCCGAAGCTTCTTTCCCCTCCTTCCTTGTATTTCACTCTCCTGCCTACATTCAGAAAATTCAGCTACCGTTGGATATCGCTGGACACGATTCACATAGGTCCCCTCCTTGGTCCCTGCCTTATTTCTTTTCCTTCCCCCCGGTCCCCCCTCTGCCCCCAGTCCCCCTCATATTTCCCCCCCTCTTTCCTTCTTCCCGTTCTTCTTCCCCTTCCTTCTTTTCTTTCCTTCTCGTTTGTAACCTCACTTATTTTCCTCCCCCCCGGTCCCCCCTCTGCCCCCAGTCCCCCTCATATTTCCCCCCCTCTTTCCTTCTTCCCGTTCTTCTTCCCCTTCCTTCTTTTCTTTCCTTCTCGTTTGTAACCTCACTTATTTTCCTCCCCCCCGGTCCCCCCTCTGCCCCCAGTCCCTGTCGCCTGCTTGTGCCTTTTTCAAGCGACGTTTCGATATTACTTCTCTTGAAATGCCGCCTGCTTGTGCCTTTCTGCAAGCGACGTTTCGATATTCCTTCCGTCGCTCTGCACTGGTCCTCTCCTCCTTTTCTCTCTCTCTCTCTCTCTATCTTCTCGCTTCTCTCTTCTCCTCCTCCTTTTCTCTCTTCTCTCTTCTCCTCCTCTTTTTCCCTCTTCTCTATTCTCCTCCTCCTTTTCTCTCTCTTCTCTCTTCTCCTTCCCCTCCACCCGCTCTCCTCCTCTCTCTTACGTTAATCACGACCAAGAACCGTGGCAAGAACTGTGACCACGTACTCAAGCGCTGATTGATCTGCGCTGTCCTCGTTCTCCATCCCAAGGCATCCTTCTTCATCACTTCCTAAGCTGCTATGAGGCATCCTTTTTTCACTACTTCCGAAGCTGCTGCTGTTCTTGGTCGTCTATCCCAAGGCCCGCTATACTCCCAGGGTTATCCAACTCACCACAACGACTAAGTCCCACAGCAAAGTGATCTCGCAGACACACCGTCGCACACAACTTCCTCTGTCCCCTACGACCCTTCCTCGCTCCGCTGCGCGCCGCCCCATCCAACAGAGGTAAACGGACCTTTGCCCATCGGGATCACTCCGTCTTCTGATCGTTTTTCCACCCGCTCTCCCCTCCTGTGAAATCGGCCACGTGTCCCATCGGTGATCTACATCTGAACCGTCGTTTCGGCCACGTGTCCCATCGGTGATCTACATCTGAACCGTCGTTTCGGCCGTGTTCCATCGGTGATCTACATCTGAACCGTCAGTTCCGCCAAGTGCCAGTGCAATTTGGCCTGCATTTTTTTTTATTTTTTTTTTTTATTTTTTTTGCCTGCTTCTTTCCGATCGTTGAGTAGTCGGCTGGACTCGACTCCACTATCCAGCTGCCACGTGTCTATTCAGGGCTTCGAATACAGACCTTAGGGCCAGATTCCACTAGCCCCTATTCTTCATTTCTGACCGTTGATCTTCTTAATCGAGGGTGAAAAATGAAAAATCCATGGTAGTGGGATCTCACCCTTAGTCCTGCGTGCTTGCGGACTACCGGGTAGCCGTTGAGCGGCCGCATTTGACTGATTCAAATCTAAGGGCCTCGCGCCACTACTGCCCAGATGCACAAAGGACAAAAACTAAGGCGGTGCATCTTCCCAGTGTTCGTGGGGAAGATTCATTCTCAATTTGCACATTTAACGAGTACTGGAGCGAGGCCCAAAGTCGCGGCCGGACATACGGATCAAGATCGGGTAATGAAAAAAAAAAAAAAAAAAAATCGGGTAATGAGGAAGACAGTGTGCAACCAACTGGCCTAGCGCAGGGCGTACTCACACTAGCAGTTTCTCAAGTGTATCTGACCGCATTCACGGCCATACCTGGATGTATCTGGCCGCAATTCCGTCCAAAAATAGTTGAAAAAGTAGTAGTGTGAGAATGCCCTCAGTTGGTGCACCCTTGAACTGTTGAAATACTACTTGAGTTCGAACTCGGGGCACTGTTTTGGTACCGAGCAGGCGGGTAAGGTATAAGCGTGCAAGATGAGCACGAGTGACACTGAACGACAGTTGGCAGATCGCACGGCAACAGGATTTTATTTTATTTTTATTTTTTTAATCTTAGTTTTCCTTTCTGTGTTTTCTTTTTGGGAGAATTTGCAAATTACCCCCATATGTTGAGATATGCCAAAATGCCCCTAAAAGATGTGGGTAGAAGGGAATAATCCTCTGACAAGAAACAATAGTTAGTGAAATGCCCCTAGCATCGGTTGGACCACCAACTTGCAGTATAACCCTACCAGGTACCGTCCAACTTTGCAAAACGCCCCAGTACTTGCCAACTTTTCCTAGGAGCTATTGCAAAAGGGCAAAAGGCCAAGGCCCAAACGGGGCGGTCCAGATTGCAAAGTTGGACACCCCCCTGACAGCGGCACAACATAAAGATTTCGGCCCAAAAGGGTATTCCGCTCTGCCCACATCTTTCAGGGGCATTTTGGCATATATCTCACTTATGGGGGGCATTTTGCAAATTATCCCTTTCTTTTCCGAATAAGGCCATCAAAAATGAGAAGCAGGAAAAAACTGGGTCAAGAGCAGACCCCTCAAGTACCTTAAGGACATTAAAAATGAGAAGCAGGAAAAAACTGGGTCAAGAGCAGACCCCTCAAGTACCTGATTTTTTTCTTCTGAGACACCATTCCACTAGCACAGTATGGCCTATTAGGACGGGTGCGACACCACCTGAAAAAGAAGAAAAAAGTAGTTAAACCACCAGTACCTCCGGGCCTGATTTTGACGAACCTGAATTATGCTGCGCGCCAGAATTCCGCCAGCCTGTGTCCCGCGGGACTTTTCGTTTTTGTTGTTGGTTTTTTTTTTTTGAACGAAAAGCTGCGTTTTCACCTCTGGCCCATCGGCCTCCGGTAGCCGCAGGATGAAGGGACGCACGTTATGGGTGGGGTCCCTGTGGTCGGTGGCATGGTTGGAGGCCAACTCGCGTTTTCGGATTTATTTATTTATTTATTTATTTATTTATTTTTTTTTTTTTTTTTTTTTTTTTTTTTTTTTTTTTTTTCGGCCTGTGACGGGCGTGTCGATTCGCCGGCGACCGGTACTGCGGATTGGATGGCCGCAGTCGTCCGCGCGTGTGGCAACGCACGGACGACGGCGGTTGCCATCGCCAGCGGCGCATCCCAGACTCGTGTGTGTGTGTGTGTGTGTGTGTGTGTGTGTGTGTGTGTTTCCTCAATCATTCAGGGCCAATCGCCGTCGCAGATGACAAGACATCTTCCCGGCGATTGGCTCATCAGTGATTGCCTCGTTGTCTCTCTCTCTCCCTCTCTCTCTCTCTCTCTCTCTCTCTCTCTCTCTCTCTCTCTCTCTCTCTCTCTCTCTCTCT